ATAGGTTTCGGCGTCGTTTGTAGAATTTTGAAAATTTGAAATTTATTAGGCTTGAATCCGTGTGTAGTTCGTATTTTGAGGTGGTTTGATGTGATTTGAGGCCTCGAGTAGGTCCGTGGTGAGTTTTAGGACTTGTTGGTGTATTTGGACGGGGTCCCGTATGGCTCGGGTGAGTTTCGGATGGTTAACGGATAAAATTCAACTTGAAACATTTCTGGAACTGCTGCCTACTGGTGTGATCGCACCTGCGAAGCTTTTGATCGCAGGTGCGAAGCCGCATATGCACGAAATCATTCGCAGAAGCGACCAAGTGTGAACTGGGGCTGGCGTGGGGCGAACGCAGATGCGAAGGGGAATGCACATCTGCGAGCCCGCAGATGCGAGAAGGGAGCCGCATATGCGAGATTTGAGAAGGCCGGTTGTTTCCGCTGGCGCGCAATTTTGTCCGCAGAAGCTAGGGTCGCAGGTGCGACCCCTTGTCCGCAGATGCGGAAATCGTTGGGACAGAAGTTTAAATTCGGGGTTTCGTGATTTTTACCCATTTTCCGATTTTGGAACTCGATTTGGGCGATTTTGGAGAGAAATTTTCCACACAACTTGGGGTAAGTGTTCTTGACTCCCTTGGGATTATATTTCATGAATTAATCTTCATTTTTGGTGTAAGATTATTGAATCTTCAAGAGAAATAGAAGGAAATTTCTATAATGTCACAAAACAAATTTTTCGAGTTTGAATGCCGATTCGGAGTCGGAATTGAGTAAAATCAGTATGGTTGAACTTGTAATTGGATGGGTTATCGTATTTTGTGAGTTTCGTCGGATTTCGAGACGTGGACCCCATGGGTGATTTTTGGAGCGTAATTTCGGATTTTTTGGGAAAGTATTAGTATTTTGATATGGAATCAAATCCTATAAATTGTGTGGACTGAATCAAATTAATTGTGACTAGATTCGAGCCGTTTGGAAGTTGATATGCGCATAATGGGACTTCTGGAGCTTGCTTAGCTTGCTCGACATTAGATTTGGCTTGTTCGAGGAAAGTAACTCTTCTAATCTTGGAGCTGAGGGTATGAACCCTGAATATATGTATTATGTGAATTGTTGGAAGGTGACACACATGCTAGGTGACGGGCGTGTGGGCGTGCACTATAGAAATTATGACATAATTATTTCTGTGAAATTTTGTAGTTAAATAATCTTGGCATTCTCCATGCGATTTTATGTGTTAAAGAAATTGAGGTGAAAAGCATATTAAAAATTATGTTGAGGCTATGTGCCAGTATTTTGGGACCCACATGGACTATATTTTTGTGAATTATTTATTTTTTTAAAATCCATACTCAGTCATATTCATTTCATTACATATCATATCTCAGTCTCTATTATTATTTATTGATACATCATATCATCAGTTTTGGGCTATTCTCGTAACATTGTGAGCCCATGAGAGAGAGGCTGGAGAGATTGATGACTAAGGGATGCCAAGGGCCTGATTGTGAGGATATTTTTGGGATCGGGCTGTATGCCGTAGCAGGCTATATTGGCTTTATATATATTATTACTATTATATGGATCGGGGTTGCTCGCCTGCAGCAGGCCGTATTGGCTTATTATGGCACGTGAGTTGTCCGTACGAATTCTAATATGCTTGCCATTGGGCATATGTCACAAGTAAAAACCTATTTATCTGTTGATGAAAGAGATATATTCTGTATATTCTTCATTGCATGATAAAGTAAATGCCCCAATCTTAAATGCCAAAGTCTGTTGGAATTCATAGAATCAGAAACAACAGTTTTATTCATTTTCAAACTTTCATTAGATGGAAAAATTCCTCTTAGAGATGTTTGAATAGACTGTGGGACAGAACTACACAATTGAACAAAAGACTTTGAGTTGGCTGCACTACAAGTCTTCACATGATTTTTAGGGAAAGGAAACAAAGGCTCATTGGGCATTCTAGACTTAGTTGAATCAACTTCTAGCACATAGAGACCAGCAAAAGCTTCACCAAGTACCACCTCTTCAGAGAAGAGGCATGTACAAGACATTTAGATTTAGTAAACAAAATATTAGAATTTAGTTGCTTACATAATTGGTTAACAGCCAAAAGATTATGGTTGAAAGAAGGAATATAAAGAACATTATGCAACTCAAGTTCAGGTAAAATTAATACACTTCCTAAACTGTACACTTTGACTTTATAAGAATTTGGTAGTGTAACTTGAATAGGGAAATGGGGTTGTTTGAAATTGTTTAGAAGTATTTTATCATGAGTCATATGTTGTGAGGCTCCTTAATCAATTATCCAAAAGTTGGATGTGATAGTTGTAAAACAAGAAATAAAGGTGTTAAAAGCAGTACATTTACCCACAATATCAGAACCTGAAGTACTTATGTTTCCAGCCTGCACAGATTGTATCATCTGAATCAGCTGCTCACACTATTCTTTTATGAACCCATGTGGATTCATTAGGCTAGGTGCAACACCCCGAGTGATAACTGCTCCTCCTCCTGATGTTTCACCTTCCTCAATCACTGTTGCATTAGCCCGAACATTTTCAAAGTTTCTCTTTGGCTTAGTGAATTTGAAAGACGGTGGGTACCCAACCAGTTTATAACATTTCTCTTTCTGATATCCCTGCTTCTTACAGTGTGAGCATAAATTATTTTTTCTTGCTTCAGTGTTACTGTTATAATTTTCACCCATGTACTCACTATTAGTTTTTTTGTGCATTAACATTGAAAGCACTGGGCTCAGCCGACACATAGTGACCAGAATGTACCTCCCTTTGAGACTCTTCATGTAAAATGATTGAATAAGCTTATGTTGTGGAAGGAAGGGGCTTCATCATGAGGATGTTTCCCCTTACTCCAGAATATCCCTCATTGAGCCCATCAAGAACTGGATTAACTTTTGATCTTCATTCATTTTGTGATTGTGAGTTTTTGCTCCACAGTTGCACTCACACCCACAAGCCATGAAGGTATTCAGAACTTTCATTTGATCCCAAATTCTTTTGAGCCTGGTAAAGTATGCTGCAACATCATTTATTTCTTGCAAAATGTTATTAAGTTCTCTTTGCAGCTAGAATAACTTTGAACTATGAGCTTGGCCATATCTTTGTTCTAGCTCAGCCCAAAGTTCTTCAGCTGTTTGAGAGTAAATGACACTTTCTGCTATATCCTTGCTTAAGGAGTTTAACAGACAAGCAATGACCATGTCATTGCATCTCCTCCATTGTGCAAACAAAGGTGAGTTCTCAACTGGTTTTTGACATGAACCATNTCATCCACCAAATTTGAAGCTACTACTGTGGTATTCTCAACAGCAGCATCAAGGATAGTCTCGGGTGTGACTTCTCCAGATGAAATACCAGATTCTGAAGCAACAGCCATAACAAGGAAATGATAGAATAGAAAGATGAAGGAGAAAAGAATAATAATAAAGGATAAATAAATAAGATCTCTAAATTAGAGCACCTGCGCTTGATACCATGAAAGCAATAGGAATCTTTTCACCTTCTTTTCACCTTTTACTTGAACGTGTGTCATGTACATTGTATATGTACCTCTACTTATACCAACAAGGGGGAAAGACAAAGCGCGAAAGGTCCATAAGGCCATAACCAATTCTGGATAGAAACAAAAAAAAAAGGACAAAGACCCATAACCAACCAACTATATTTTATACAGATAGACAACTATATGTACTATGTCTTGATATTGCTTCTGCTTGCTCAATATTTGAGGCACCTTTTGTGAGAGCTCCGTTAACAATTTTTTACAGCTTTCAATCCCTCAATTCCTTACAAATTATAATTAAGACTATAATTTTAATTAAGTTAATAAATTCTCTGGTCTTAATTATTATATGTGTTTCTGGCTTTTTCCACAGAAAAGCTCTTATACATCTAACAGATTGTTATATCATGTGAGGCTCATCTTTAATGCTTCTACTCTATCTTTTCCGAGGAACAATTTTCTCAATTCTTTACATCACTAACAATAGAAAACTTGAGACCCAACTGCACATATTGATTAACGAAGTTGAATGTATTTTACTAATTACTATCATAAAGACTCATAGTACAGTTTTTCATTTATTTAAGAACCAAATTGCAAATTTTCCTTTATAATATTTTCCAAAGACCTAAAAATACTATCTACCCTTCTTTGTTTAATATTCAGAAATCGGAATTCAAGAACTCACGTGCTTGGTCAAGATTTATATAGATCGTGAATTTGATTAATTAGTTTGACCTAACCCAAGAATTCTAGCATGATTTTAATATGTAGGGGCACATGAATGCAATTAAAACCCTTGCCAGACCTGTTAGTACATCTTCAGTGTTATCTGCCCCAAAAATATCAATGTGATATTTATTCTAGTCAATACTACTAGTACCTTAAAAAAATCCTAGAGATACATATTGGAATTCTCTTTTTTAACCCCTCCTTTGTTCTTCCCTGCTTTCTTTTGATCTATTTTTCTTTTAGTTTTTGTTTCCTCTAATTTTTAGGAAACCATGTGCTCATCTATAAAGTGATTTCTAGGATAAGCTTTAGCAGAAGCTTCCTACTTACTATACTTAACATATTAAAACTTTACCAAAAGCAGAAGATCCATTGCCTGAGCTTTAAGTTCAACTAGTGTTGGAAAAAACTATCTTGTTTCCCAAGTGATTCCTTTCCAAGTTCCAACACATTTCATTTAGTAAATGTGTGTTTAATTGCAAGTTTGCAACTTTCAAGATTGTTTTACTAGGAAAGTTACATTAGCGTGTGCTTTGTGTATTGTTCTTTTTTTCCTCGTAAACAAACTTAATCAATTTCCCTCTACCCCAACACCCTTGAGCACTACAGACTGGAACATGATTAGCATCTTAAATTAAACATACGTAACGACTGAACTAATCATTATTTGAACCAACTTGGTTTTGGGATATTAAGCAGCAGAACTACTTGATAAAAAGTAGTAGTAATAGGTAGAGCAGAATATTGCTGTCTAAAAACAAAAGCATACTCGCTCATCATTTCATAAGAGAGACCAAAACAAAGTTCAGTACAACCTTCTTAACAATTTACATGATACTACAACTGCCTGTATTCTCATCACTGAACATATGAGTAAAATTATCATGCACCGGAGCTCCCATCGGCGGCCCATAATTCACGGCAGGATGTGGCCGGGCGTACATCATTGGGTGGGCGCCGTACATATCATATCCGGCTGGCCGCTGTTGTTGCTGCTGGTTCATCATCATTTGTGCCATGTACTGTTGTTGTTGGCTATAAGGGTTGCCCTGTCCCATCCCGGGGTAATACCCAGCCCCACCGGAGGCGGGAAGTCCTTGAGCTGCCGGCATATTCTGCCCCATTTGGCCCATCGGATAATTACCCATCGGGCCCATACTCATCGGGCCTCCGCCTTTTTGGCCCATACTCATCCCATGAGGTCCTTGTTGCATACTATTCATCATTAAGCCTCCATCCATCTTCCCTCCCCCACCATTCTTCCCTCCAAAACCTCCATTATTGTCACCTTTACCATTTACCCCTCCATTTTTACCATCTGGTAGACCCCCACCACCTCCATTTTTGCCACCATTTTTACCACCACTTTGATTCTGATTCCCTCCCTTTCCCTGTTTTCCTCCATTATTGTTCTTACCATCATGATGATTTCCAACCATACCCTTCATTTGTACAGGGATTTCAACCCCACCACCACCACCACCTTTCTTGCCATTTCCACCATTATTATTCATACCCCCACCCTTTAAATTTGCATTAATCCCATGGGGTCCATGACCACCCCCCATAACAGGCATCATTTTGACAGCTGGGCGGTCGTCAAAACCATCATCAGAATCATCATCAAACTCATCTTCATCATAGTCAAAATCATCATCAAACTCATCATCAAACTCATCCTCGGGCAAATTAAACTTAACAGATTTTTGGTCCTTGGCATTAGGAATATTGGGCATCTTGAAATTATCCTTTGAACCTTTGAGGTTTTGCATCATCTGAAGAAACTGTTGTGCACCCCCACCCCCCTTTGGCTGTTCCTTATTCCCACCACCACCCTTTTTAGATTTGTTGTCTTTTCCACCTTTGAGGTTGTCCATTTGCATGTTCAGAAACTGATTGTTCATCATATTGAAATTAGAACCTCCTCCTTTTTGTGCTCCCCATACCTCTGCATGTTTCCCTGATTTCACTAGCTTCTTTACTAGTGTTGCTGGATCAACGTTTCCTGTTACTGTTACTTTACTTTGGTCTACATCTATCTTCACTGTGTAAACTCCTGTTAAAAAATATAAATAATTTAGAAAAACAGATCACAGATGCAAATTCCTAGGCCCCAAAGCATGTGAATATTTCATATAGTTCTTTATTGGCAAGTTGACCGCTAAATGATTCTTGTTTTAACATATGGGGAAGTGTGACGGGACATGCTTTGACCAAGTAAAAATGAAGTTACCTTCAATCTTTTGCAGTTTTTTCTTCACTTTCTGTTTGCAGCCATCACAGTGTATATTCACTCTAAGAACACAAGTCTGCAACAACATAGATATCATAACGTTCAATAACCAAAACAAGAACTGACTAGTTAAGGTCGTTAAAAGAATTCAAACAAATAACAAATTAAGGTGGTACCACATGTTATAAAGTAAGATAACAAGAAATTTCAGAAAATTGGGAACACATGCTCTACTTCTAAAAAAAGTAACTCGGTGCACAACGGCAGCTCAAGAGGTGAGCGCGTCATGTACATAGCCTACCCAAATACAAGGTTAATGGCTGTTTTTGCAGCTCGAACATGTGAGTTATAGGTCACATCGAGTCAACTACATAGCTATAGAGATGAGTCTTGAGAACAATTCCAAAGGAATACCGAGACACACTTTAATTTCTACTATATTGCATCACCTAAAAGATAACTAAGCAAATGGACTTAGTAGCCTGAAAAATAACTCTAAACAATATGCTACACCAGCTAAAATTACACTAGTATAAATTAGTAGTAAATCCAAACAAATACAAGAGACAGTGCAAGAAACTAATCATACCTGTGTCTTCAACATTTCTTGTTTATTCATTCTGACAATATCAAGAAAACACCTTCTAAAATGTATATATTAAGGAGTAGAAGGCACTAAAGTAGGAGCTTTGAATGTTTGTTAAAACTTCAGAAACTGTATATATGAAAAAGGAGTAAGCTGAGATTTGAAGAGGAAATGGGAGAGAAACAGGGAAAGAAAGGCGGTCGGAGGAGTAAAAACTAAAAGAGAGTAAAATATTGTTGAAAACAAGTCGGTCTGTTTGATGGGGTTGTGTGCTGTATTTGAAGGAAAAGAAAAAGGGAGAAATATTGGCATGAGCTGTCACAGTAAAGAGTTATGTCGGCTCCATGTCAAAGAAGAAGAGATACACATTACACTCATAGCTACTGTTCCTATTACAACTTTCCCCCTGCTTTATATGATGTTGAGTTCAGAATTCTTTTTATTAGTATTATTTTGTTATGAAATAAATACGATAAAGTAAAGACAAGTATATAGAAACTGATATATTATTTAATTTTAAATTTATGTACATAATGTACATATTGGATTATGCATGCATTATTGTCTTCGTATAAATTTGTGAATCTTTTATCACATTTCAAACCACATTTTCCTTGAATAAAATGAATCATTGATTCCAACCATACGCATTCCCTACTTGCTTCATGAATAGCTATTATCTCAGTATGATTTTAAAAAGTAGCAACAATAGATTATTTTGTGGAGCGTCATGATATGACAATACCTTCAGAGGCGGATGCAGCGTGCTAGCTACGGGTTCAACTGAACCCATAACTTTCGACGCAGAGTAAAAAATTTATGTAAAAATTTATTAAAATTACAAAAATAGTAGATATGAACCCATAACTTTAAAAATATAATGGGTTCAATGTTAAAAATTTTAAAATTGAACCCATGGGATTTAAATTCTGGATCCGCCTCTGAATACCTCCACATGTAAACACGTACCCGATTTGAGATTGAGCTTTATGTGGATCAGATAAATAACTTGCGTCTGCATAACCAACAAGATCTACACTACCTTTGTTAGAATAAAATAGACCCATATCAAGTGTTCCTTTTACATATAGTAATATATGCTTAATCCCGTTCAAATGTCTCCGTGTAAGAGAAGAGCAAAATCTTGCTAGTAAATTAATAGAAAATGCTATGTCACGCTTTGTAGCATTAGCAAGATACATAAGTGCACCAATTGCACTAAGATAAGGTATTTCGGGACAAATCCTTATTCATTTCAAGTGATCGAACAACCATTGGTGTACTCAATGGGTGCGCTTTGTCCATGTAAAAGCGTTTTAAGACCCTTTTTGGATAGGCAGATTAATGGATAAAGATCTCGTCTGCTAAATGTTCAATTTGCAGACCAAAACAAAGTTTTGTCTTTCCAAGATCTTTCATCTCAAATTCTTTCTTAAGATATTCAATTGCCTTTTAGAGCTCTTCTAGAGTTCCAACACGATTTATGTCATCAGCATAAATAGCAAGTATAATAAATTCTGATGCCATTTTCTTTATAAAAATACATGGACAAATAACATCATCTATGTAACCCTCTTTCAGCAAATATTCACTAAGGCGATTATACCACATACGCCCAGATTGCTTTAAACCGTATAAAGATCTTTGTAATCTAATTGAATACATTTCCCAGGATTTTGGATTTGCTTCGGGCATTTTAAATCCTTCAGAGATTTTCATGTAAATTTCATTATCAAGTGAACCGTACAAATAAGCTGTAACTACATCCATTAGATGTATTTCAAGTTTTTCATGTAGTGCTAAATTGATGAGATATCGAAATGTTATGGCATCCATAACATGTGAATATGTTTTATCAAAATCGACTCCAGGTTGTTGTGAGAATCCTTGTGCGACAAGGCGAGCTTTGTATCTTTCAATTTCATTCTTATCATTCCTTTTTCGCACAAAACCCCATATACGACCAACTCATTTTATACCAGCATATGTTTGGACTACTGGTCCAAAGACCTCTCTTTTAGCAAGTGCATTCAATTCTAATTTAATTGCCTCTTGCCATTTTGTCAAATCAGATCTTTGTCGACATTCTTCGACAGATCAGGGTTCAAGATCCTCACTATCTTGCATAATGTTAATTGCAACATTATATGCAAAAATATTATCCACTAATATTTCAGATAGATTTAAATTAATCCCTTCAATATTAAAACTTATTAAAAGCTTCTCACTCACTTGAGTCTCGAGTTCATTGATTTCTTCAGGAATCTCAGAACTAATCAGATATTGGGTCTCTTCAGGAGATCCATTCGTAGTATCGTTATCATTTGTCGATTTTCTTTTTCGAGGATTTCGATCCTTAGAACCTAAAGGCCTACCACGCTCCAGGCGTGCTTTAGGTTCACTAGCTCTCATGCTAGTAGATGGTCCTGCTAGGATATCAATTCGGATAGGCACATTCTCTATAGGGATATGTGACTTAGTTATCCTTTTAAAATCAGTAAATGCGTCTGGCATTTGATTTGCTACATTTTGTAAATAGGTAATCTTCTGGACCTCCTGATTACATATAGGGGTACGTGGATCAAAATGAGATAATGATAAAACTTTTCACACAATTTCTCTTTTGATTTCCTTTGTCTCTCTCCCTAATTGTGGAAAATTTATATCATCAAACCGACAATCTGCAAATCGAGCAGTAAATAAACCTCTCGTTAATGGTTCAAGATAGCGAATAATAGAGGGTGATTCAAACCCAATATATATTCCTAACCTTTTTTGTGGGCACATCTTACTGTGTTGTGGTGGTGCTACTGGCACATATACAGCACATCCAAAAATTTATAGATGGGCAATATCTGGTTCATGACTAAAAACTTATTGTGACAGAGAATATTTATTATAATGTGTCGGGGTGAGACAGATAAGTGATGATGCATGCAAGATAGCATGGCCCCAAACAGTAGTGGGCAATTTTATTTTCATAAGTAGTGGTCTTGCTATCAATTGCATGAGTTTAATAAATGACTCTGCAAGGCCATTTTGAATATAAACATAACCTACAGGATGTTCAACTTTTATCCCAAATGATAGACAATAATCATCAAAAGCTTAAGATGAGAATTCTACAGCATTATCAAGGCGAATATCCTTTATAGGATAATCTGGGAATTGTGCCCGTAATCGAATTATTTGGGCTAATAGCTTAGCAAACGCCAGGTTGCGAGATGATAATAGGCACATGAGACCATCTTGAAGATGTATCTACTAGGACCATAAAATATCTAAACAGCCCATTTTGTGGGTGAATAGGTCCACATATATCCCCATGTATACGTTCTAAAAAGGCAGGGGATTCAATGCCAACCTTCATTGGTGATGGTCTAGTGATCATTTTGCCTTGATAACAAGCATCACAAGAAAATTTATTATTTGTAAGAATCTTTAGGTTCTTTAATGGATGCCCACTCGAATATTCAGTAATTCGTCTCATCATTATTGATCCAGGATGGCCCAAACGGCCATGCCAAAATACAAAAATAATTGAATCAGTAAACTTCTGGTTTACGATAGAGTGTGCTTCAACTGTACTATCTTTGAATAGTATAAGCCAAAAGATAAAGTTGGTAACTTTTCTACAATATACTTCTGGCCAGAAACATTCTTTGTAATACAAAGATATTCCATATTCATTTCATCTATCGTCTCAACATGATACCCATTTCGGCTGATATCTACAAAACTCAACAACTTTCTTCGGGACTTGAAGAAGAATAATGCATTATCTACTATAAGTTTTGTACCCTTAGACCGAAATATAATGGCTCTTCCGGAACCTTCAATCAAACTTATATTACCAGAAATTGTTGAAACATTTATTTTTTCCTTACACAAATAAGAAAAGTATGTCTCGTCTTTGAATATGGCATGAGTTGTTCCACTATCAATTACACAAATATTTTCATGATTGGTCTTTGATCCAAACATAATTTGAGGATTATCCATATTCTTCAAAATGACATAAACAAAATAAATATGATAGTAAACATCATTATCAAAGCATAACTTTTATTTATATACAATAATTACATAACCATACTATCTACTACAAACAAAAAATATATATATTTATATTTTTACAGATTCATCATCGATCACATGACTTGTTTCTCCTTCCGGGAGTGCAAAGTAATCGGCTACATCCAAATGCATGAAGTCTAAATTATCTTCAGAAATAAAATTTGTTTCAATATTTTTCTTTGTCTTCTTTAGGGAGGCTTGATATAGCTCAACCAGGTGCTTTGGCGTATGACAAGTACGTGACCAGTGCCTTTTTCCTCCACATCTATATCATGCATTTTCTGCCTTTGCTGATTGCACCGCTTTATGCTTTTGTTCCTTCCTTTTTCACTGCTGGTGGTGAGGAGGGTTCTTTGGTGCATTATTATTACCATGATTAGAGTTTCTTCTCCGACCACAGCTATGACCACGACTGGAGCCACAACCTCTTTCACGCTTAGCTTGGTGGAAGTTCGTCTCATTCACTTCATGGAATGGACAAGAACCAGTATGCCGACTTTCATGGTTTTTCATTAATAGCCCATTATGTTGTTCGGTTACAAGAAGATGTGAGATAAGTTCAGAATACTTTTTGAATCCCATCTCTCGATATTGTTGCTGCAGGAGCATATTCAAGGCATAAAAATGGTAAAAGTTTTCTCCAACATATCATGGTCAGTAATATTATCACCACATAATTTCAATTGGGAAATAATTCTGAACATAGCAGAATTATACTCACTGAAAGATTTAAAATCTTGTAGCCTTAAATGAGTCCAATCATAATATGCCTATGGAAGAACGACCATCTTTAGGTGGTCATATCTATCTTCCAAAATATTCCACAGTATGACTGGATCTTTGATAGTGAGATATTTCTGCCACGCCTTAACCCCGAAAAGCGCAACCGCCGCTCAACCGAATGAACCCGGTCGAGCAAGCCTGTTAGATACTTTCTACCCAACTCACCTATGATCAAGAGAAGATATAATTTCATTAATTAGACAGAAGGGAGATCATATATATAATACTAAATCGTCTCATTGGTTACATCATTTTTAAATTTCAAGATATACACATTCTTATGATTCGAGAGGAACAAGAGATCAAAACACAACATAATGTGTTTGACTTTTCTAGCACTCATGTACAACCCACATAGTATCTACGGAGCCTCTAAAGATACAAAAGAGTGTTATGGTAGTGTCGGCAATAAGACCCCAGCTATATCTCGAAACGTGATAATATATGAACAAAAGATATAATACATGACCCCTGGATGTAATGGGGCTCACCAAGTCTGTTGGGAA